CCAGGTGATGTTGATCGTTCTGGTCCTTCTGGGACACGCTGAGAACACCATTCTAGAAATCATTCCCCACACTGGTCCTGAAACCTGGAGTCCGTGACATTCACCGCCCCAACTCCGACACTCTTCAAAACCCTCACTGTGCTTTTTTTTTCTCCTGCTTCGAGAATTGCACAACAGGCTTGGGGGCGTGGCCCTAACAGTGATTTTTTTAAAGGTAGTGATTATTTTAATGAGTTAAGTCCAATCATTCCATTTGCAGATGTAGATAAAAGGCAGTAATACTGCTTTGCTTGAATAACTAGTTTGTTGCTTACCAAATTAAGTTAACCATTCCCATCAAAGCTTAGATAGTAAGCCAATGCTGTACCTCTTGGAAGCCACCTCTTGTGACTTGTCATGCTTCCTGTCTGTGTCCTAGTATAACCCTTGCTGGACAGACTGTCTTAACTTATCAATCTTTCATTAACACTTATCAAGTTCACTATACTTATTCCCATCTTTCTGATTAATCCAGTATCTTCTAAAAAGGTTTACAATAAATGCTTATTACCAATGTAAAAAAAGAAATAAAAGCTCAAAAAACAGAAAGCTTTTCAGCTTCAAAAAATAAAAATAGGGCAAAATGACAAAAAACTACTAAAACAGCAAGAATTCCTTCAAAACTCAGAATTAAATACAAGCAAGTTTATTATCAAGAGCAATTATGGCAACATTTTCATCTCTGGTTCTCTTAGGCTTTAATACAAGTAAAATAATTTTTAAAATAAATGAATTCTACCAAAGATGCACTGTACTAGCCTCTATTAAGCACTAGTTTGAATTAACCACATCTTCAGTAATAGGTGTACTTAATTCAGATTCTCCCAAAGGAGCATATACAACCAGGCAGAATTAAAAACAGAACAAAATTAACCAACAATATGAGAAATTAATGATAAATAACAGTAACTTACCTACTTCAGTGAGTTGATGTCTTCCTAGTGTTAAATTCTTTGGATCCTTAATAAAATGAAAGGGCTGTATTTTTATTCCTTCAATTTGAGGGAATAATAGAGCAAAACCAGATTCTCCAATTTCTATTTCCTGAGGTCGATTGCTACCTGATCCCATTGGAGTCACTAGGAAAAAAGTTAAACTGTTTCATAAACAGATTCAATAAAAACTAAAGTTTAATTTGGCAATAGTGTAAATTAACCAGTCCCACCTAGATAACTGCAATTTAGGTCATTAAGATAATCACCAAGCTAACAGGCCACTATCCAAGTAAAACTGCTTCAGCGTGGACATTTTTCAGGGTATAGTGTCATGATGGCTGCAACTTACTTTCACATCGTTAAAAAATAAATGTTTTCACAAAATGAAGAGAAGAAAGGAAATGCTGCAAAATTTTTTCAATTGGTGAATCTAGATGAAGGGCATATGGGTATTTACCATACTGTTCTATTACTCTTTCAACTTTTCCACAGGACTAAGTTTTTCAAAGTAAAAGATTGGAGGGGGGTGTAGTAAATACACTTTTACAGCACTTCCACTTTTAAAAATGTATGCTAAAAATGTTTAATAATTATATAAAGTATATTTGC